GAGACCGAGAGCCAGAGAGAAAGCAAACTGCCCGAGCTCCCAGAGATGCCCAGGACTCAGTCCCTCTGACCTCAGAGCTCAGGCTGTCAGTCACTGACCCTCCATCCTCACTGGCAAAACCTGCATGCCCACACAGCCCGGGGATACAGAGGAGCTCCACGACAGGGTCCCGAGTGGGCTTAGGCAGGCTGAGACCAGGCGTGGAGCCCTTTGGCCCGGGAGCAGACTGTGACAAGTAGACCTTGCTCACTTCTGTGAAGGAAACCTCTGGGGAGCTCATTCCTAGAAGGAAGGGCCACACCCAGTATTGACTCGCCAGGCACAGGTGCCGGTGGCTGGGTGGGTCCTGCCACGTGTCTACTTCTGGGGAAGGGAGGGAGTGGTCAGGCAGCCTCAGGCAGTGGCTCCTGTGTGTCCCGATCCCCTCTGCTGCAGCAGGCAGCTCGGGGACTGCCACCCACCCAGAGGGGTGGACTGAGCAAGAGGCCTGGGTTCTGAGATCTCCTTCCCCCACAACCCTGCGTCAGACAGGGCTCCTCCGCCCCTCCTGACACCACCACCTTCTCCATGCCTCAGTGTCCTCATCCACACCTCAGACGTAGTAACACTTCCTTCCTGGCATTGTGCAAATTAAATGAGGTCACGTGTGCGGCCTCCGGGGCTCCAGGGAGCCACGGTTTTATCCTGAGGGCAGTGGGAAGCTTTGGGGAGCTTTTTCAGGGAGCTAGCTAATACAGCGTCAGTGAAACTGATTTAAAAATATATATTGATAAGCCCCCACTGGATCTGATGCCTCATGCCGGTAAATTCCAGCACTTTGGAAGACCAAGTTGGGAGGATGGCTTGGGACTAGGAGTTCAAGACCAGCCTGGGCAACACAGTGAGACCCCATCTCTCTAAAAAAAAGAAAAAATTAGCCAGACAAGGTGGCACACACCTGTAGTCCCAGCTACTCAGGAGGCTGAAGTAGGAGGATCACTTGAGCCTGGGAGGTTGAGGCTGCAGTGAGCTGTGATTGTCCCATTGCACTTCAGCCTGGACAACAGAGCAAGACCCTGTCTCTTAAAAAAAAAAAATGAGTAATTGCAGATGTTTTTAGAAAGCTCAAAAGAGGCCAGGCACAGTGGCTCATGCCTGTAACCCCAACACTTTGGGATGCTGAGGCAGGCGGATCACCTGCAGTCAGGAGTTCAAAACCAGCCTGGCCAACCTGGCAAAACCCCATCTCTACTAAAAACACAAAAAATTAGCCGGGCACAGTGGTGCACATCTGTAATCCCAGCTACTAGGAAGAGTGAAGCATGAGAATCCCTTGAGCCTAGAAGATGGAGATTGCAGTGAGCTGGGATCGTGCCACTGCACTCCAGCCTAGGTGACAAAGCAAGACTCTGTCTCAGAAATAAAGTAAAAAGCTCAGAAGAAAAAAAGCAAACTCAGGGGTCAATAATAAAAATGGAACTGAAGGTAGAAGGGAGGTGGGGGAGGGGAGAGGAACTCAGATTGGACTTGATACATGGGACGGTATCAAGTCTAGTGACGTTCATGGGAGCAGAAACAGAAACCCCATATGAAGGCCGGGCCCTGAGGGACTGCCCCCAGCCCCCATGGACGGATAGGAACAGCCCAAGACTGGATAGCAGGAAGTCCAAAAATTGAAAGTCTAAGCCTGGGCGTGTGGGGCGGGGCGGGGCAGGGGATACTGAGATCTGAGTTGATTCTACTCTGGGCTGCTAGAATCTCATGCCAGGAATTCAGTGTGAACACAGGTCCCCAGCTGGTGAAATCCCTGGAGTATTCCCCAAAACACTCAACGCATCCTTGTTGGGAAACCTCTCATCCTGAGGCGTGTGGGAGCCCGAGCGTGCACAGGCACAAGCTGCAAATCTCCCTGCTGAAGATGAGCTCACAATAAAGCTTAGAAACCACCAGAAAAATCCACCATGCGGGAGAACCCACAGACAGGGCGGCAGGTGCAGCAGGTCCGTCAGGGTGCTCTGTGCAGGAGCGACTTACAGATCTGATGTCAATAGGAAATCGAGGCTCCGCAGCTGCAAAACCCCCTCCCTGTCCACACCCTCAGATCCTCAGTCACCACTGCTTCTCACAAATGCTTCATGGGAGCATGAGTTTTGTTTTGAGGGATGCAGAGAAGAGCTGACATTTCTGCTGGGGTCCTCGAGATTGAGGAACAGAGAGAGCCCATGTGCAGAGGTAGAACTGTCAGAGAACCGGTCCAGTTCTATGCATTTGGGAGCCTGAGGCTGTGAGGATGTAGTTCCTGGAAATTCTCTGAGATCTCATGGGGGAGGCTTGGCTTTCCACAGAGGATGGAACTCAGGTCTGGGGGCTGTTACATAGCCTAAAGAGACACCACGCTCTCCCAGGGCCAAGATGAGGAAGTCTGTGCTGGCCCCAGGTGGCGAGCTGAGGTCCCTGCCCTCATAGGTCCTGGGGTGAGGCTGGCCTGGGTAACTTTCACTTGGCCACGTGGCTGCAGGAACACCGAAGGGGAGGCATAGTTCTAGGCGAGAGTGACTTTTCTAAAGACAGCGACAGGCCTGGATTTGAATCCAGACTCCACAGGGTGTTGCTTTGTTTTCCCGTGCCTCAGTTTTCCTCTCTGTTTAATGGGGGTAATAATATAGCTCTTCCTCCTGGGCACTGAGAGGACTGAATGAGAAAACACACGTGACAGGGCAGCTGCCCCGGAGGACAGGCTGGGAGAATAGCCGTGGAGTTTATTACTAATGAATGAAGGGCTGGACACATGGATGAGTCAGTAATGATCCGTCTGATATGATGAGTGGACAAATGAATCAATGAATGAAATGCTCAGGGCCTGCCTCCCAGCACCAGAGAGAGGGAGCTTGGCCCTGGGGAGGGGAGGGAGGACAGGAGAGGTCCATCCTGAGTCAGTTTCCAGCAGCTCCAGCTCAGAAAAAGGTCAGAGGTCAGGTGACGGGCACATGGCGCACACCTGTGACACCCCTCTTAATCACTCCCCCCACATCGCACCAAGGGCCTCGAAGGATTCCCCTGAGTCATCTTCCTGCAGGCCAGCATGCAGCTCCCAGTTCCTCCCCCAGCCGGGCAGATGGTGATTCAGGGCTTTTTGGGGGAAATGAGACTTAAAAGACTCAGCAAGGAGTGTCCAGCCTGGTGAGTTGGGGGCTGTGGGCAGGACTCGGGGAGGGTCCCCTGGCACCTTCCCCGCCTCAGAGGGAGTCTTGCCCAGGTGGCAGGGCTTGGTAATCCTTCAAGTGGGGTGAGGGTAGCCCCATCCACCACAATAAATAATAGGAATGGCAATGAATTTTGTTGGGCCAGATTCTGTGCCCAGGGTTGCTCATTCATTTCTTCATTTAGTCCTCAGCTCCCTAGTGGAGGCAGCTGTCGGCTGAAACCACAGGAAATTGCCAATTGCCTTCCTGATCTTGCCCTGCAAAAATGGCAATCATGTGTAGTTCAATCGAATAGTCCCATTTTGCAGAAAATCACGGCTCAGAGAGGCTGAGCAGCCTGGAGAGGAGAGCCAGGGGCGCTGCTGCCTGAGCCTGGGAGAGCCTTGGGGTGCCGGGCTTGGGGCCAAGGGAGGCTCCTGGCCTGGGAACAGCGGTGCACAGGGAACACTAGAGCAGAGCTAGGCTGCACCTGCCCCCCCAGGGGGAAGGCGATGGGGCAAACAGGGCCAACGCTGGGGACTCAGGGCTGCCTCCTGGCGATCCCCAGGCTGGGGGAATTTGGCTCGGGGGATTTTGAGCAGTTGGAGGCTGAGTAGGGGCTTTCTTGCCCTCTGGCTGGGGCCCTGGGGGAGCGGGGGGTTGGGGCTGCATCCATCTGTCCATCCATCCAGGAACTCTCTGTCTCTGGTGGTGGCCGTCACTGAGGCTGTTCTGCAGAGCCACTCTGGGGCATTCATTTAAAATCCAAAGAGGAACCCAGGGAGGGGACAATGTTGAACCCAGGAGAAGGGGGTGGGTGATGCTGGCATTTCGGGGAGACATCAGTATGGGAGTTTCTCCCCAGGGGGTGTCTTTCTAGAATGTCTTTCTAGACTCCTGTGACACCCAGTGAGGTCAACCAGCCCCAGATGATTCTCAGAATTTGGAGACTGGCCCCCTGCAAGGGACTCAGATGCTTTCCCTGGAAGTGGACAGGGAGGGTAGGAGGCACCAAGGTCTCGCTGAGCCCTCATGGTCACTCTGAACGTTTATGCCACTTGGCAGGAGCCCTTCACTCTCCAGACAGTGAAATCAGCACCTGGCCCAGATAACAGCAAACAGCAACAATACCCCTTACCCCGTCCGACTGGTACCTCCTGTCTGTCTGCAGGGCGCTGCGCGTAAGTAGCACCATACACACAAGATCTCCAGGGAGTCTCATGACTAGGCATCAGCAGGGGCTTCTGTGTTTCTGGTCTTTCAGGAAACCAAGAAAAAACAGAGAGGTTGAGTAACTTGTCCAGAGTCACACAGCTCTAAGAAGCAGAGTCACCTACTCCAGAGGCCAAGGCAGGAGGATCAGTTGAGCCCCAGAGTTCAAGATCAGCCTGGGCAACATAGTGAGACCCCATCTCTTTAAACACAAAAAGGTGGAGTCAGAATCAAAACCAAAGGACTCTGAACCCTTGTACTGTTGGCTACACTCATCTCACCCTCCTGAAGAAATGGTTGCTGAGATTGCAGACTTGGTTAAATTCATTACAGTCCATCAATTCCATGGGGCAGCCCATTCTCCAGCCATTCAAATGGTGATTTGGAGGCTAGGTGTGGTGGCTCACATCTGTAATTCCAGCACTTTGGGAGGCCAAGGCAGGTGGATTATCTGAGGTCAGGAGCTCGAGACCAGCCTGGCCAACATGGTAAAACCCTTTCTCTACTAAACACACAAAAATTGGCCTGGCATGGTGGCATGTGCCTGTAATCCCAGCTACTCGGGAGGCTGAGGCAGGAGGATCGCTTAAACCCTGGAGGCAGAGGTTGAAGTGAGCTAGGAGCTCACCACCACTGCACTCCAGGCTGGGGGACAGAACAAGACTCCATCTCAAAATAAAATGGTGATTTGGAGTATTGCTTCCCTGGGAAGATGCCCGTGACACGTGTATCTTTAGAGGATAAAGCAAGTTCTAAGAGTTTGGAAGCAATAACCCCATTTTTGTTCATTGAAAATTTGCATAGAAAAATGACGAGAAAAGTTAGCAATTGCAGTGCTGGCAGCGATGACGCTGAGGAGGAAGCGGAGGGGCCCACGGAGAAGGACGGGGTTTGTGCCACCAGGTCTGTGCCACCACTGTCCTGCCTCGTCTGTGATGCCGGGAAAGGGGGCATCCTGGTTGCTGGGAGTCTGAAGACCTGGAGTGGGAGAGAGAATGGCTGTGTCCGTGACTGGAGCTCAGGGCTCTGAGAGGTGGTGTCCGCGGTCTGTGGGGAGGCAGTGGCTGATCCGTCAAGGGTGTGGCTTGTCCTTCCCACGCCCGTGGAGAAACGCCGATCACCCTGCCTGTGCCTCCACTGGCTACTCTCCTGGCTTGCGGCCCGTTCACCTTGGTGGCCAAACCTCTCCGTCCTTGCCACCAGCTCGGACATCTCCTCCTCCAGGAAGCCTCCTCAGATGTCCCTGGCCAGGCATGGGCCTTCCTCAGCCTTTCTCTGGATCCCTAGTCTAGCACTGAGTGCCTCCTGCCTCCTCACTGCCTCTGACGGGTTGATTTAACACAGCCACAGGGACTCATTTCTGTAACCCCCGCCTTTCCCACGGGAGCCACTACAGGGTTGAGCTTTACATCCTCTTGGCGGGCTCATGGGCCCTCATCCGCACCTTCCCTCTTAGCGGGTCCCTCTTATGTGGTGTCTCATTGACTCTTCGCTGTAGCTCTAAGGGGTGGGTACCACTTTTCATTCCCATTCCACAGATGCAGAAACTGATCTCCCGCGAAGCTGAGGAGCTCACCCTGGGTCATATGGCCAGCAAGTGGCACAGTCAAGATCTGAACCCAGGTCCAGCTGTGTTCACACGGTGTCTTGGATGGGGCTAACGCTCCACCACGCTGCCTTTTCATATAACGTTAAAATCTGGCTTCTCTTTCAGTAGCTGCCCCAGAGCGGCTGGAGCACTGCAACTAAGGCAGATGTGAGCTCTGGAATCGCAGTCACCAGCACTGCTGTGGTACCTTCGCTCTTAGTGTCTGCTTCTGTCAACGCTGAGAGGTAGGCACAAGTACCCCCGTGGCAGATGTGGGAGAATTGAGGCCCGAGAGGTCCAGGGCTCCAGGGGCACCTGGCTCTGATGAGGCCAAACCCAGGGTTGCCCCCTCTCTGCACCCCAAACTTCCGGTTTCTGGGCTCAGCTGAGCACGTGGAGCCTTGGTCACACCCAACACTCAGTGGATAGCGTCTGAGAAACACTCTTCCTGCTTAAAGCCCTGCTTCCCGGAAGGGAGCTGGGGGAAAGTGGGAGAGGAGGTGGGGGGGCCAGGTAGCAGACAGGCACACTCCTTGCAGGAGGAAGTTCGACCCGTCACTTCTGGGAACGAGGATAGCTTGGCAGTAACACGGCGCACTTTGACCCTGGTAGAGCACCCAGGTGTCACTGTTGATGGCCCCCTTCCTCCCTGGGGGGTGCAGCTGGGCTGCCTGGAGCCTCCATGTCAGACATCCAGGTGGAGCTGGGGACAGCCTTGGAGCTCTCAGGCCACCTGTCTGGCTCCCACCGGATGGAGCGCCCAGATGGTGCTTCTCTGTCCGCTGTCTAGGGGGAGCCCAGGCTGGGACATCCAAGCTGAGCCCTGAGCTGGCCTGACCTGGCCCAGCCCGCGCTGATGAGGCAACATGAGTCCTGTTTCCTGTTTCTGTGGCTATGCAAATGGGGGGAAATCAGGGCCTCTCCTGGGGTAGGCTTCCCAGAATGATGGCATTGATTGTCCCAAGAAACCTGGCCCCAGCGGGGCTGTCACGGGAAGGCGGTCGTCAATGTCTAAGATCCCTTTCTTTCCTGGCAAATCTCTCCTGCGTGTTGGGAAAATCCTCTTCAGCCCAGCATTGGGTCATCACTGCGTGCCCACTCCTGGACCCACTGCCGGTGAGAGCCAGGCTGTGGCTTCCACTTCGTGTTACTGCATCCCCAGCTCCTGGTACATCGTGGGAGTGGGACAGACAGGAGCAGGAAGTGGGTGGGCTGACTGGCTCTTAGCCCCTAGCCTGGAGATCACATATCCTTCTATTTACTCATAAGGAAACTGAGGACACCAGGCTGCGCCAGGGACTTGCCCATGTCTCTCTACCTCGCCCAGACATGCCCCAGCGGCAGTGGCAAACTTCTGCTTGCCACCAAAAGCCGGCTGAGTCTTCCGAGTCCCTCTCATGGTCCCCACGCCTCAGCAGCCCAAGGTCCCAGCTTGAGCCTGCCTGGCCAGGACTCTTGCCACACCCCTGGCAGGTCCCCAGGTTAGGCTCTCAGAGGGGTCGTTCTCGGCTCACATCTGACCATGCCCCTCCCCTGCTCTGGCACCCAGCCCTCGCTCAAAGCTAGGCCCCATAAGCCAGCAGTAATTGGGCACCTTCTAACCTGAGTGGTCTCATCTCTTGACAACTCTGCCTCACCCTGTAGGACCAGCATCACCTGGCGCTACCCCAGGTGATGCCAGAACTCCTCGGAATCCCCCTTGCACCTCTGTGGCTTCACAAAGCTGTTGCCTCAGCCTGGGGTGATGTCTCCAACACCTTTCTTTCTTCCGTCCTTTCTTCTTCTCTTCTCTTTTCTTTCTTTTCTTTTCCTTTTCTTTTTTTCTTTCTTTCCCTCCCTCCCTCCTTTCTTTCTTTTCTTTCTTTCCTCCTTTCCTTTCCCTCCCTCCCTCCTTTCCTTCTTTTCTTTCCATCCTTCCCCTCCCTTTCTTTCTTTCTCTCCTTCCTCCCTCCGGGCTCTCTCTTTCTCGCTCTTTCTTTCTTTCATTTTCTTTTTCTCTCCCTCCCTCTCTTTCCTCCTTTCCTTTTCCATTTCCTTCTCTCCCTCCCTCCCTCTTTCCTTCCCTCCTTCTTTCCTTCCCTCGCTCCTTCCTTCCTTCCTTCCTTTTCTTTCTCTTTCTTTTTTTTCTGAGACAGAATCTCTCTCTGTCATCCGGGCTGGAGCGCAATGGCACAATCTCGGCTCACTGCAGACTCTGCCTCCGGGTTCAAGCATTTCTCCTGCCTCAGCCTCCTGAGTAACTGGGATTCCAGTTGCATGCCACCATGCCTGACTACTTTTTGTATTTTTAGTAGAGATGGAGTCTTGTCATGTTGGCCAGGTTGGTCTCAAATTCTTGACCTCAGGGGATCCACCTGCCTTGGCCTCCCAGAGTTCTAGGATTACAGGTGTGAGCCACTGCACCCCAGCCTAACACCTTTGCTTCTATAACTCCTGTTTATCCTCCAACAGTCAGCAGTGCCTCCTCCAGGAAGCCTTCCCAGATGCCCCCAGGCACCTGAACCAGGTGCCTCCTCTCAGCTCCTGGCATGTGCCCATCACAGCATGTACCACACTGGGCTGTCCTCATCCTTTTAGTGCCTGTCTCCCCCACTGGATGAGAAGCTCATCAGGGAAGCTTGCATAGAGAAGGAGGCAGAGATGTGGAAATGCCCATGGGCAGAAGACACACACAGGACGTTGAACCTATGGACATGGAGTGCTACAGAGGCCTCTGTCAAGGACCGAGTAACCAGATATTCAACTGTGTCTCCCTCGAGATAGTGAATGCTGGGGCGTGGGGAGGCACAGAGCCTGAGTCTATGAGCCCCCATTCTCTGAACCCCCGCCCCTCAGGAAACTCCTCCCGCATGAGGCAGTGGGCAAGCAGAGCCTGCCTTCCATGGGAGGAGCCCAAGTAGTCCACACCCACTTTCCCTGCCTCCCTTGCAGCTAGGGCATGGTGTGTGACTGGGCTCTGCCAATCAGGCACCTGCTCTGGAGTTTGAGTTGGAGGCTTGTCCTGTCCAGGACTCTTTCTGGAGGGGCCTGGGCCACATGGGTTTCCTGGTGGCTGTGAAGAAGGAGGACTTCACCAGGCTCGCTCTGTGGTAGGAAGGGAGGTGAAGTCCCCTTTTCCATGGGATCCTCCTGCCTTCCTGGGAGTTTTGTATACCCCAATATCTGTTTATATACATCTTCTTCTGCTTCAGTGAGCCACAGTTGGATTTTATTGTTTGTCACTAGGAATCTCGGAGGATCCTCTTGGGGACAACCACTGGGATCAACCTTGAAGGAGGAGCTGGTGTTAATGGGAAGAACAGCAGGTGCACTCGGGGCATGGGAAACAGCTGCCCAGGGTCAAGGTCAGACTTCAAGGACACGACAGGGAGAGCTGGGAATGAACCTCTGGGTCAGAGCCATTGGAGTGTGGAGTTGGGTGGGGGGAAGTACCAGCAGGGGGGCAGATCCAAGGCAGCCAATCCTGGATGCCAGGTGGAGAGCAAGCTTGGATGCCAACCTGTGGGCAGTGGGACCCAGTGACATACTCTAAGTGGAGGCGGGAGGTGGGCAGATTTGGGTTCCAGCAGCTCGGTCTGCTGCTAGGGGGAAAAGCTGGACCAGATAGGGCAAGACTGGAAGAGCAGGAGACCACACAAGAGACTGCTGCGATGGCCCCAGCTAGAAAGAAGACCGAGCAGCAGCGGTGAGCAAGGGCAGAGCTGGGGTTGGGTGTCACTAGCCCTGGGGAGCCACTGAAGCCTTGGGTGATCATGAGAAAGTGGGGTTGAGCCAGGCGTGGTGGCTCATGCCTGTAACCGCAGTATTTCAGGAGGCTGAGGTGGAGGGCTTGCTTTAGCCAGGAGTTTAATACCAGCCTGGGCAACATAACAAGACCCTGTCTCTACAAAAACTAAAAAGTTAGCTGGGTGTGGTGGCACACACACCTGTAGTCCCAGCTACTCAGGAGGCTGAGGCAGGTGGAGCCCATCAGTCCTGGCTGCAGTGAGCCAGGACTGTGCTTCTGCGCTCTAGCCTGGGCAACAGGGTGAGATCCTGTCTCTTAAAAAAAACAATTGGGGTTGGAATTTCACGGCTGCCTGGACATGTCACTTGCTTCACCCTTTGCGCCAATTCGTTCTGAGGGTTTCCACACCAGGGCCGGCTTTGTGGTGGTGCTTCCCAGCTAAGCTGACGCAGACTTGCAGATGTGATTCAGGAATGGAAAACAGGCTGGGAGCAGCGGCTCACACCTATAATCCCAGCAATTTGGGAGGCTGAGGTGGGCAGATCACCTGAGGTCAGGAGTTTGAGCCAGCCTGGCCAACATGGTGAAACTCTGTCTCTACTAAAAATACAAAAACTAGCCAAATGTGGTGGCACACGCCTGCAATCCCAGCTACTCAGGCTGAGGCAAGAGGATTGCTTGAGCCCAGGAGACATAGGTTGCAGTGAGCCTACATCACCACTGCATTCCAGGCTGGGCAACAGAGCAAGACTAATCTCAAAAAATAAAGGAGGCTGAGCATGGTGGCTCACCCCTGTAATTCCAGCATTTTGGGAGACCGAGGTGGGTGGATCACTTGAGGTTGAGAGTTCAAGACCAGCCTGGCCAATATGGTGAAACCCTGTCTCTACTAAAAATACACAAATTAGCCAGGCGTGGTGGTGGGCACCTGTAATCCCAGCTACTCAGGAGGCTGAGGCAGGAGAATCTCTTGAACCAGGAGGCAGAGGTTGCAGTGAGCCAAGATCGTGCCATTGTACTCCAGCCTGGGCAACAGAGACTCCGTTTCAAAAAGAATAAATAAATAAAATGGAGAACACACACGACCTTCAGCAGAGAGCCTGGAAAATGGTAAGCAGCTTTTTGGGACATCTGCCATGTATTCCTTCCTCCCCCGCTGCCTATAACAGCCCTGCTGGGAACCCAGCATCCTCCGGGAAGACAGTTTAGCAACAGAGGAGACCATGTTGCTTTGAGAATCGGAACGAAACCCTGCAAGGCCAGGACAGGGAAAGACCCAGGCAAGTCATAACTCTGGCCAGGGCTTGCTGAAGGCAGAAAGTCAGGGGGCTGGTGGTAGGGGCACGCGGCCTCTGAATGGCTTCAAGAGGAAGCAGGGATGGGGTTGTCGTGGCTGCACTGGGGATGACACCCTCTCCCTCTAGCTGGGTGGCCTGGGGCAGAGCCTCTCCCTTTCCAAGCCTCTGAGTCCTCTGCCTGAGATAATGGGCTCCAGCCCCCCTCACACCCCCCTGCATGTGGGCGAGCAAACCCAGCACCAGCACCTGGGTGTACAGCCTGGGGGATGTGTTAGGGATTCAACCCCTTTTTGGAGCTTTTCTTTTCTTTTGGGACAGAGTCTTACTCTGTTGCCCAGATTGGAGTGCAGTGGCACGATCTCGACTTACTGCAACCTCTGCCTGTCGGGCTCAAGCGATTCTCCTGCCTCAGGCTCCCCAATAGCTGGGACTCCAGGTGCCGGCCACCATGCCTAGCTCATTTTATATTTTGAGTAGAGGTGGTGTTTCACCGTATTGACCAGGCTGGTCTCAAAATTCTGACCTCGTGATCCCCCCATCTCAGCCTCCCAAAGTGCTGGAACTATAGGCATGAGCCGCCACACTCGGCCTGGAGGTTTTCTATTTAAAAAAAATTTTTTTAACTCTTTATAGAGAGGTGGGGTCTCACTACGTCGCTCAGGCTGGTCTTGAACTCCTGGCTTCAAGTGATCCTCCCACCTCAGCCTCCCAAACTGTTAGGATTACAGGCGGGAGCCACCACATCCAGCCCTTTCTTGGATCGCGCGGTGCTGTCTGGGTTCTTTTCCTCTTTGTCCTCCCTCCCCCTGCACCCCAGAGCTTGTGTGGGGCCGATCCATCCTCACAGACAGGACGGGATCCCGGGTGCCCTTTCTACCCTCCCCAGGGGGCCCTAGGACTCTGTAGGACAGTCTGCCCCGGTGCCCTGAGGGCTCCTGGAAGTGGCAGTGAGGTGCACTCAGGAGTAGGTGGTCCCCTCTCTGAGCCTCCAGCCTTCGAGCCCACTGCCATGTAGCCACAGTCGTTCCTGGCTCCACACTGGACCCTTCAGCAAGGCCCTCACCATGTCCTGAGTCTGTTCATCCCTCCTCCCTGAGGCCACCACCCAGGTCCGCACCGCCTTATCTCCCACCTGGACCGTCCATGGCCGAAGCCTCCCACCTGGTGTCCTGGCCCCTCCTCAGTGATCCCGGCTCTGCCCGTACCAGAGGCCATCTCCTGATCTCCTCTGGCATGAGTACACTGTTCTGCCCCCAGCACACCCGGCTTGCTGTCAGCCAGGGTCCAGGCCACTCACCCCTCCTCCACCCCCCTCCTCCACCATTCGATCATCACACTTACGAAGTCATCTTCTCATAGGTGAGGGGCATTTCTCAACTGCTGTCTCCATCAAACAGGTATCTGGGGAGGGCTGTGGCTTGCAGCGGCCACCCTGTGTTCATTCATTCATGGCAACTTTCTGCACCTGGGGGCAGCTGAGTCTGGGACCTCTGAGGGCTGGGGGAACCCACCCAAGGGCAGGGGGTTAGGTGGCTAGATTGGCATTTAGAAAATCTGCACAATCTAGAAAATTGGCTCAGATAGGCATTTAGAAAGTCCCCTCTGGGCCGGGCACGGTGGCTCACGCCTGTCATCCCAGCACTTTGGGAGGCTAAGGTGGGCAGTTCACGAGGTCAAAAGATCAAGACCATCCTGGCCAACACGGTGAAACCCTGTCTCTACTAAAAATACAAAATCTAGCCAGGTATGGTGGCTCTCGCCTGTAGTCCCAGCTACTCGGGAGGCTGAGGCAGGAGAACCGCTTGCACCTGGGAGGCAGATGTTGCAGTGAGCTGAGATCGTGCCACTATACTCCAGCCTGGGCAACAAGAGTGAGACTGCATCTCAAAAAAAAAAAAAAAAAAAAAAAAAAGTCCCCTTTTTTTTAACTACTGCTTCGGAGTGGGCAGTAGTTAGTGGAGCTGCAGGGAGTTTAGCTAGGGGCACCTGGGTGTCCTGGTAACAGATAAGGGCTGCTGTGGGAAGGAAGAGAAGCAAACGTTTTCCAGAAATAGAGGTCAAACGGAGAGCATTTGGCTGTGGTCACAGACACTGCAGCGTCCACCCCACATTCCTCCCCAGCCCCTATCCCTTTACCCCTCCTTGCAGGGAACTTTCCCTGCCAGTAGCAGGCACCAACATTTCCTGGCCAGGTACCATCTGTTGCTGCTGGAACCAGCTTTGCCTGCAGCCCCTGGAGAAGCAGAAGCTCCCAGGAATTTGTGCACTGCCCAGAGGGCAGAAGTGAGTACTCCCTTAACCAATCACATGCGAGGGGCATAAAATTCCAGTTTTTTGCCCCTGATCAGGACCCCTAAGGGGTGACCTAGCACCATGTCATGGTCACCGAACCCCTGTTTAGGGTCAGCTTCTAGGGAACCCACACTAAGGATGGTGACCAGGTTTGGGGGCTGAGGGAAAGAGTGTTTACGCAAGGTTTTTTGGCTTGTGCAAGAGCGGCCGATCCCGAGACAGGATGCACCGGACAGGGATCCCTGACTTGGGACGAGGGAGGGCGTCAGGGTGCTGTTTCCTTGAGGACAAGTTGTTATATTGGTTTTGTGTTGCCAGAAATCACCGGGGCAGTGACCAAGCTGAGTACAGATGCGTTCATCATCCAGAGGAAAGGCGCTCAGCATCTCCACGCCATCCCCCTCCCTGCCGTGGGACGGAGGCAGCAACATTTCCCTGACCTGGGCCGGCTGCAGCTAAGGCTGAGACATCTGCATAGGGCAGAAGGGGCCAGGTCAAGGCCTTCCTGGCAAGTGCCTCCCAGGGGACAATGCCAGTCCCAGAAAGGGTGAGTCATGAGCAGAGCACCTCCACATCCCTGGCCAGGCCGGAGGTGCCTCCCCAGGGACTTGCCCCAAAGGGGCACCGTATCCGGTCATCCTCAGAGCCAGGCAGGCTTGACAACCCATCCTCTCATCTCTGTCCTGCTCCCAGGCAGCCCGTAAAGCCCTCAGGCCCAGTGGCCATGCCTCACCCGACAGCTTGGGAGATCCAGGCACAGCGGGAGAAGTGACTTGCCGAGGTCATGCAGGGACACGGTCAAGCCACTGCCTGGCTTCCTGACACCCCTTCTGCCCTACCATGCTGATGCCCAGGTTTGCCCTGTGGGAATTCCCTGGGCCCACCCAGCTGCCATGCCCTGGCACCCGTAGAGTAATCTGGAGGCGTGTGGGTGCCTGTCACCCAAGCATCCTTCCTGGCATAGCAGGAGGAGAGAGCCAAGCACCCAAGGCAGCCCCTGACCTCAGGGACCCCCAGTTCTTCCTGCACCCCTTGACCTTCCCACTTCTCTAGGGACTGCCTCATGGTGGGTGGGTCTCTGTTCTGCCCTGTCCTACCGTGGGTCCTGCGGGGAGGCGGCTGGAACACGGGGCTGAGTGGCACCCAGCACACACCCAGGGCCCTGGGAGGGGGTTCGCCTCTTCCTTCTGCAGTGGGCTCTGCCTCCTGCTCTGCACTTGCCCATCAGGCCAAGGGGGTAGGGGAAGGGGTGCAGGCGTGGGCATCCCTGCAGTCAGGGCTGCCTGCCACCTTTGTGCATGGGGAGGGATGAGGGGTGGGGTGCTAGGTGGAAGGTGGAGTCTCCTTTGCTGTCTTTGGTGCCTTCATAACCCCTTGCTTCTATCCTGGGAAGCTGCTCTACTTCATAACCCCTTGCCCAGCTTCTACCCTGGGAAGCTTTGCTCCCACATGGGCCACCTACCCAGACCACCTGCACAGTGGTGACAACGGGCTCAGTGTGTTTCTCCTTTCTCCTTGCCCAAGACAGGATCTTTGGCCCTTATTAATAAAAACAGCCAAATCTGGCTGGTGCAGTGGCTCACATCTGTAATCCCAGTACTTTGGGAGGTCAAAGTGGGAGGATCACTTGAGGCCAGGAGTTCGAGACCAGCCTGGGCATCATAGTGAGACTCTGTCTCTACAAAAAAATTAAAAATTAGCCAAGCATGGTGGCGTGCTTGCAGCTACTTGGGAGGGTGAGGCAAGAGGATTGCAGGAGTTTGAGGCAGCACTGAGCTAGGATTGTGCCACTGCTCTTCAGATGAGGGAGACCCTATCTCAAAAAAAAAAATACTGTAATAACAGTCAAATCTGTTAAGTGTTTACCTCATGCCTGGCCTAGAGCTGAACACCTGGCCCATGTGACTGTACCCATGATCCCTGTTTTTCAGTTAAGAAAATGGAAGCTCAAAGAGGCTAAGTTGGCCACCCCCTGTGCAAAGCTAGTACACAGCGAGGCTTCTGTGCACCTCTCAGCCCTGGCCCCCTTTATTCTTCAGGAACCCATGAAGTTTGCAGCTCTGTTCACATATACACACGGGAAGCTTCTGGCAGCTTGGGAAATATCTGTGACGTGAACAGTCACAGCTGCTGCTTACTGGGGACTGCCTAAAAACAGCACTTTATTTTTATTTATTGATTTGACATTTAGTGTATTTTTTTAAAAAGATGATTGGTTCAAAATGCAAAAAAGATACGAGGCTGGTCTCTCTCTCTCTCTCTCTCTTTCTCTCTCTCTTTCTCTCTCTCTCTCTCCTCACCAGCCCTGTCATCCCCCAGCCACCCCGGTTCCCTTTCTGATACCAGTTTCTTCTACTTCCTTCCAGGAATACTTCTTTTTTTTAATTTTTTTTGAGACAGAGTTTTGCTCTTGTCACCCAGGCTGGAGTGCAATGGCATGATCTTGGCTCACTGCAACCTCTGCCTCCCAGGTTCAAGCCATTCTTCTCTCTCAGCCTCCCAAGTAGCTGGGACCACAGGCACACACCACCACACCCAGCTGATTTTTGTATTTTTAGTAGAGACGGGAGTTTCACCATGTTGGCCAAGATGGTCTTGATCTCTTAACCTCATGACCTGCCTGCCTCGGCCTCCCAAAGTGCTGGGATTACAGGAGTGAGCCACTGCGCCCGGCCCTTTTTTTTTTTTGAGATGGAGTTTCACTCTTGTTGCGTAGGCTGGAGTGCAGTGGTGTGATCTTGGCTCATCGCAACCTTCATCTCTCGGGTTTAAGCAATTCTCCTGCCTCAGCCCCCCGAGAAGCTGGGATTACAGACACCCACTACCATGCCCAGCTAATTTTGCATTTTTAGTAGAGATGGGGTTTCACCATGTTGGACAGGCTGGTCTCGAACTCCTGACCTCAGACCTCAGGTGATCTACCCACCTCCACCTCCCAAAGTGCTGTGATTACAGGTGTGAGCCACCGCACCTGGCCTCCTTCCAGAAATACTTAACACATTTACTCAAATCTTAGGCTACTATACTGATATGATTTGGATCTGTGTCCCCACCCAAATCTCATGTTGAATTGTAACCGCTGATGTTGGAGGTGGGCCTGGTGGGACGTGTGAGTGGATTTCTCATGAATGGCTTAGCACCGTCCCTCTTGGTACTATCCCTGTGGTAGTGAGTGAGTTCTCATGAGATGTGGTCATTTCCAAGTATATAGCACCTTCCCCCTCTGTCTCTTTTGCTCCTGCTACCACCATGTGACATGCCTGCCCCCACTTTGCCTTCCGCCATGATTGGAAGTTTCCTGAACCCTCCCCAGAAGCCGAGCAGAGGCCAGCACCATGCTCCCTGTGCAGTCTGCAGAACTGTGAGCCAATGAAACCTCTTTTCTTTATAAATTACCCAGTCTCTGGTATGTTTTCATAGCAATGTGAGAATGGATGACTCCATGTACATACTGTATTAGTTATCTATTGCTACTGCTGCATAGCAAGCTAGCCCAAAATTTGGCAGCTTGAAATATGAATAACGTTTTTTCATCTCACAGTTTCTGAGGGGCAGGAATTTGGGAGCAACTCAGCTGGGTGATTCTGGCTCAGTGTCTCATGAGGCTCCGGTCAAGCAGTTGGCCAAGGCTGCTGTCATCCGAAGGCTCAACTGGGGCTGGAGGCTCTACTTTCTGGATGGCTCATTATGTGGCTTTTGGCAGGAGGCCTCAGCTCCTCACCTCATAGATGTCTCGATAGGGCTGCTTGAGTGTCCTCACAACATGGCAGCTGGCTTCTGTCGGGCAAGTGGTCCAAGACAGAACAGAGTGGAAGCCGCAATGTCATTTATGATCTAGCCTTGGAAGGAAGATGTGTTTCCACCATATCCTCCTAATTTCACAGGTCAGCCTTAGTTAATGTGGGAGGGGACCACATTAGGTCCCAGGAGGTGAGAATTATTATGGGTCATCTGGAGGCTGCCTAGCACACACACTGTCCTGCACCTTGCTTTTCTTCACAATAGTATTCAGAATGGTTCTATATCAATAGACACAGAATAACCTTATTCATTTATTTATTTGAGATAGGGTCTCACTCTGTCACCCAGGCTGGAGTGCAGTGGCACAATCACAGCTCGCTGCAGCCTCAACCTCCCAGGCTCAAGCAGTCCTGCCACCTCAGTCTCCTGAGTAGCTGAGACTACAGGTGCATACCACCATGCCTGGCCAATTATTTAAAAAAATGTTTTGTAGAGACAGGGCTCCACTATATTGTCCAGGCTGGTCTCTGACTCCTAAACCCAAGTGATCCTCCTGCTTTGGCCTTCCAAAAAATATTGGGATTCTGGGCGTGAGCCACTGCACCCAGCCTATTTTTTTAATTGCATAGTATTACACTGTGTGGGAGCGTCGTGATGTATTTACGCAGCCCGCTATTGATGGACCTTTCGGTTATTCCTGATCATCTCCTGTCACCATCAGGGCTGCAGTGACCATCTTTGCAGAGGCATTATTTCCCATATCTGATGGGGTGATACACGGGTGGACTGGCTAAGTCAAAAGGGGCGGCACTTTGAAAACACAGCTGTAAAGTTTTTGCCACTTCTTGGATTAAGACGTGGGGTCAGCCAGGCACAGTGGCTCACGTTTGTAATCACAGCACTTCGGGAGGCTGAAGCAGGCAGATCACCTGAGGTCGGGAGTACAAGACCAGCCTGACCAACATGGAGAAACTCTGTCTCTACTAAAAATACAAAATTAGCCAGGCGTGGAAGCACCTGCCTATAATCCCAGCTACTGGGGAGGCAGAGGCAGGAGAATTGCTTGAACCTGGAAGGTGGAGGTTGAGAGAGCAAAAGAGAGGGAGGAGAGAGGAAAAGAAAGAGAGAGAGGGAAGGAAGAAGGAAGGAAGAAGTGAAGGAGGGAAGGAAGAAGGAAAGGAAAGAAGGAAGGAGGGAGGGAGGGAAGGAGGGAAGGGAGGGAGGGAGGAAGGAGAAAGGAAGGGAAGGAAGGAAAGAGAAGAAGGAAGGAATGAGAAAGGAAGGGAAGGGAAAAGGAAGGAAAGAGAAGGAAGGAAGGAAGGAAGGAAAAAAAAAGAAGTGGAGTCTATATCTCCTCCCCTTGAAACTGAGTGAGCTTTGATGAATTCAACCAAGAGAGTATTACAGAAGTGATGCCGTGCAATGTCTGAGACTTGGTACACAGTTCCATCTTGTTTGCTGGAAGACTTGCTCTTGGAGCCCTGACCTGCAACATAAGAATTCTAACTCCCTTGAAGTTGCCATGCTGGAAGGAAGCCCAAGACATCTGAAGAGGCCACATGTCAGCATATCAGTCACTTTTCCCAGTGATGGTGACACCCAGCCTTCAAGTCATGCCAACAAACGCACCATGTGTGCGACTAGTCTCCAAATGTTTTGAGTAACCCCTTCTCCAGCTGAAGCCTTAGTCTTCATGGAACAGAAATAATCCATAAAAAATAGAATAAAGGCTATGGGTGTTTTTTTTTTTAATGTACTGCAAGCACTTACATACTTTAGCTCATTTAATTCTCCCAAGAATCTCTCAGGGCAAGTATTGTCAACCCTATGTTGCAGAAAAGAAGACCAGAACCCAGAGAAGTTCAGAAACTTGCCCAAGGCCTCACAGGAGGTGACTGAAAGACCTGGATGCTAACTTGGGTCTTTCTGGCTCCAGATCCACCCTCCTCCTCCTGCTAATAGAGGGAAGCAACTCATTGTGTTGAACTTGCAGGATCAGCCATAAGAAATTTCTAGACCCAAAGAACACACTGGGTTAGATCAGAAGTTCCATGCCTGGGGCCTCTGGAAGCTATTTTTGGCAAAAATTGCTGGGAAATTGTGCATCTGTTCTTCCTGCCAATGTTGTGTAGGCAGGGAGGAATGTGTAAACTCTCCACTATTGCCGAGAATTCTGTTCATTGAGAATCTCAACTGGCCAGAAGGTCTTACAGTTAACTACCTGGCTGGTTAACAAACAAATGAAGCTATTATTCCCTTTAGTAGGAGGATAACTTTCTTTCACATTTAAATTTATTTTTGCTTTCTGATCCAACTGAGGAACAATTTCGGAGGAAACTTTCTAAACATGAAATTCCGCCAGAGCACTTGTGGCTGAATGGGTTTCTCCCTGCTGGTGATGGGCGGTATTGCAACTCAGCTCTATTAGACAAAAGGAAGGTGAGAGACACAACATGTACATGGGGCAGTATCTGGAGCTTTAG